GCAATGAGAGTCTGTCAGAAGGTGACATTGATGTTGGAGGACTTCATGAAGGTATTGATGATCAATCTTTGTCAGAATCTGACAGAGATGATTCATCTGAAGGTATTGCACAGTTTAATACTGACTCAACCCAGGAAGGTAGTATCTTACCCTCACTTGATAATTTGAGTAATTTGCATGATGTACCTATTCTACCTGATGAAAATGAAAATTTTGGTGAAACTGTTCTAAATGATAGTACCTCTAATGAACATGAAGAACCAAACTTGTCTGATTACCAGCTTGTTAAAGATAGAGAACCTGGAAATATTATTCCTAATCGGAAATACATCTCTAATCTAGCTGAGTTTATATTTATAGCCTCTGAAACTGTTAAAAATAATGTGCCTTAAACTTTTGAGCAAGCTATAAAGAGTTCTAAGTCAAATGAATGGGTTAAAGCAATGCAAGAGGAATTACAATCTATGTTTGTTAATCAAACTTGGACTTTGGTCCCTAAACCTATAGGTGCTAAGGTCATTGATTGTAGATGGATTTATAGGATAAAAGATAGCCTTGATCCCACTGATCCTCCTAAGTATAAAGCCAGGCTTGTTGTTAAGGGTTTTAAACAAAAGAAAGGGATTGATTACCAAAATATTTTTGCTCCTGTTATCAAATTTAAAACTTTGAGACTTTTGCTTGCTATGAGTGCTGTGTTTGACCGGGAATTAGAACAAATGGATGTTAAGACTGCTTTCTTACATGGAGATATAAATGAAACTATTTATATGTCTCAACCTCCTGGATATGAGAGTAAAAAGTATCCTGATCATGTTTGCTTGTTAAGAAAATCTATCTATGGCTTAAAACAGTCTCCAAGACAATGGAACTTGAAATTTGATGTTTGCATGAGTAAACTTGGTTTTCTTAAAAGTAAATATGATACTTGTTTGCATTTTAAGCATGTTGGTACTGATAATGCTGTTTACATTCTGCTATATGTTGATGATATCCTCATAATTGGTCTGTGCAAAATGATGGTTATTAGTGTGAAAGATGATCTAAAAACACATTTTGACATGAAAGACATAGGACCTGCTAAAAGAATTTTAGGAATTGACATTAGCAGAAATAGATCTGAAAAGTGCATGTTCTTATCACAAAGCAGTTATTTGACTAAGATTTTGGATAGGTTTAACATGCTTGGTTCTAAATGCACTTCTATACCCTTAGGAGGGCATTTGGATCTTCAGAGGGATCCTTATCCTATTTCTTTGGAGGAATCTAAGAAAATGGATAAAATCCCTTATGATGTTGCTTCTGGCTCTTTGATGTATGCTATGCTATGTACCAGACCAGACATTGCCTTTGTTGTGAGTGTCCTTAGCAGATTTATGTCTGACCCTAGGGAAGGACATTGGACTGCTATGAAGTATACTCTTAGGTATCTATCTGGAACCAAAAACCTAGGTCTTAAGTATAGTTTCAATTCTTCTTTAGACCTGAAAGGATTTGTTGATTCTGATTATGCTGGTTGTAAAGACACCAGAAAGTCTACCACTTCCTGGTTCTTTACCTGGGCTGGGAACTGTATTTCGTGGAAATCCCAATTACAATCTGTTGTGGCTGTCCTCTACTTAGGCTGAATATGTTGCTGCCACTGAAGCCATTAAAGAAGCCAAATGGCTTAAAGGCATTTTGGGGGAGGTTCTAGGAAACAGTCTTGTCCCTATTGTTTTTTCTGACAGCCAAAGTGCTATTTACCTTTGCAAAGATCCTATGTATCATGAGAAGACCAAACATATAGATGTAAGATTTCATTACATTAGAGATGAAATTGCCAAGGGTAATACTAATGTTGAAAAGATTTCTGGGGATGTCAATCCTGCTTATTTTGGAACAAAAATTGTCCCTACTGATAAATTTCTTTTTTGTAGGAGCTTCTTCAAAATCTTTGAGGTACCTTTATAAAAGGTTCAAAGATGGGTTGATGATGAATAGGGAAATTTATGTCTCACAGATCCTGCGAAACTAGCGATGATGATACTCCTGTTGGAGTTCTTTGAATGAGAATGAGTCTTAGGAGGGCAAATTGTTGGATTATTATTTAATCCTAATTCTCTCATATGTTCTTTTCTGTTATAATTAAGATAGGATGGCAAAGTAATTATACTTGTATTTATTTCTTTTTTGGGTTATCTCTTGTTTGGGTTGATTTTTTGGTGCATTGGGCTTGTTTTGATTAGCCTCTTGTTGTTGGGCCTATTCTTGGGCCCGACCTCTTGGTTAGTTCATCTGCCCGGATGAAAGGTTATTAATATAACCTTCGTCCTCCCCCTCTGCACTGTTCCGCTGCATATACTTCAAACCCTAGAGAGAGAGAAATCTGAGAGAGAGAGTCTGTGAGATCTGTTATCTCCTGCGATTGAAGCCATCTTCTTGTGACGATTGCGAGGAAGGAGGAAACATGTCCATTGAAGTAGCCTGCTGGTTCATCCGAGAGTCTTCTTCTGCTCTTCGAATTCCTGTCTGGATTCGAACGTGGTTAACTCTGAACTTTCTCTTGTTGTTTATCGTTATGAGTTGTGTGTCTGTTATTGCATGTTGATACCGGTCGTAGTCTAATTACTTTGCAACCATCTTGATTGTAAAAACAATTCTGAGCTAGTGGATCTGTCTGGGATCGGGTTTCCCCTCTTGAAACCCCGCAGATTAGGAAGTTCTATTCCGAACTGCGTCATCATATCGCGTGTCTTTACTTTTCTGTATTGCTTTGTTTGCTTGTTCGAATTGTTGACTTTGTTAAGTCTGAGAACAAAGGGATAACACACACTATTAAATTAAAGTTGATGCAATGGTGGATTGGGGTATCAGGAAAAACTATGGACTCAATATATATTTCAGTTTTACCAGGTGTGATTACTTGGCACCTATTGAAGGCTTACTGGGATTCTGTATTCAACGGCTCGGATCCAAACCAGAGGGGTGTGGTACATCAAATATGTAAATTCATGTTAAACTGGTGCGGTGCACTTGACAACCTGAAGGGAGATGAAAAGTTAAAAAGAGTAGATTTGATACCTGCTAATTTCAGGATGAGAAAGCCTCGAATCTTCCGTTGGGTCAAACCGAGTTCAGACGGACGGAGGGGCTGGGGTTTCCTAATGTGGTTGCTGACGTTCCTAATATGAAGTTTCTAGAGTTGGGCCAGTCTTTAATGGGTCGATTATGGGCCTTTACAATTAGTCTGCCCCAATCAAACAAAGCAGCCAATTTAGTGGCGGGTTTGGGCCTGTTAAGGCTTTTTTCATGGAAAGAAGGTGACTCCATTCCACACATTCTTGGAGGGGCTCTTAAGCTTGATGCATATTCGATTCCCTATGATTTTTAGGTGTTTTTCATCTCTTATTTGGTATTTTCTTTTTGCTGAAAGGGGATGCCCTTTCTGAGGTTAGGAGTGGTCCCCCTTGCATTTTGTAACTGTTTTATTTTATTTATAATATCTTGTAAACGTTCCCCGAAGTTTGCCCCACTGATTTTGGTGGTTTCCCTACCGGGTTAAAAAAACGTTCAATTAAATACATTGCATTTCATGGCAGCATTGATGCACTACTGGTCATAATCATTTCACTTCCCATCAATGTGTAACACTATCTATTGCCTTCAAATCATTGCACAACACACATCCTTAGTGCACTCATTCACTACTCGTGTACTTGCCATGTTTATTGTCCATACTCAACATGATCTATTTTCATGTTCAATGTGACAAAAACCTAATTTCCCCAAACCCTAATTTCAAGAAAGAGAAAAAGAAGAACGATAATGGATGTTGAATGGCTGAATGTTGGAGGTAGGCGTCTGGAGGATGGAGATGGATGGCGGCGCCGTGGTGCGCATGCACGAGAATGGTTACGGGAAGGCGCGTATTCATGGGGATGGCCGTGGCGCCGTGACATTGGGACGGCGGCGGCGCATTGGGAAAGCAGCGATGATGAGGGAGCAGGTGCCACGATGACAGGAGCGACGGGTGGCGCGACGACTGCTAGTGGCAGCTTTTGAGAAAATGAGTAGAAAGTTATAGTTTTATAATAATTAAATGCATATTAGTCCATAATAGGGTAATTTTCTCGTAATAGAATGACAATCCTCATTCATGTTTTCCTTTTTGTGGTCTGAAATTGAGAGCCCGATCGGTGACCTAGTTTTTCGACTTATGAGGCTTATCAAGCAATTTTTTCACTCAACACGTAGCTTTTGATTTCACGCGCTGAATTGTTTAATAATAAGGAAAAGTAGGGTTGAAGTTACTTTTCTGGTTATATTGACTGAAGTTAATAATTTTTTCTTTATTTTATTAATAAACTATATTTCAATTCCCTCTCATAAATAAGCAAAATCAGTCAATGCATACAATGCAACTAGAACTTCATAAATTTCAGCGGAATTAGCTGATTCAGCTGATTTCAATGTTATCAAATGGACTTTTACCAAACGGGCACCGAAAATATCATTTCCTTTTTGTCACACTTTTTTTATACAAAAACCTCAATATTAAGTTTATTTTTTTGGGAAATTCAAACTTTTTATATAAAGGTATTTGGGTAAATTAAACTTACTCTATTTTCTTAAACTTTTGTGTTAGAACTTGGGTTTAATGGACCAAACCCTCTCGTGAAAAATAAATTTAGTGCATTAACTCCATGTGATTTAAAAAATTCGAACTCCCTCGTGTTATAGTTATTCATGCTCAAAACCCTTTCAATGAACAAATTTAATTGCCAAATAAATGAAAAATGATTAGTTTTTTTGTATAATTTAGAAATTTTGACAAAGTTACTTGCATATTCAATCATATTATTAAGAAAACTGATTTTAAAATTGTAAAATTTGTTCTTAAAGAGGATTTTGCACATGAATAATTAAAACAAAGGGAGTTTAACACATTTTTTAAACCAAGTGAATAATAAGCCGAATTTATTATCTTTAAGGAGAGCATAAGATAGAGTAAACCCCTTAGAATTTGAAGTATGCTATTCAGGAATTTTGTGACAAAACTACTGTATTTGGGCCACCAGCTGGTGTTTGCGACCAGTGAGCCGATGAATACTACTCCCGCTTACAAATCAAATCAAACTTCCATTTCATTTTCCCTCCAATTCAAGCTAAGCTTTGTCTCTTAGAAAAACCCTCTGATCGATCTTAAACCCTAACTTCCGGCATATCAAGACAGAAGTACCCATGTCATCGAGAAATGTACTGATCACTCCGGAGACCGAGACAAGGACAAGAAACAAACATAGCCGTCTGAAAAGTTGCATACCATATTCCGTACATCTTATCAATCATCAGATGATCGATCGAATGGCTGCAGATTCTGGCCGTCGCAAATACCTTGTGCATTATGATTCAGGACTCGTCTTCAAGATCTTATCGGAGGACCCAATCGGCAGAGACCATGACAACATCCCCGTCTACAAAGTGGCCTGGTCAGCTTGTGAGCACAACTCCGGCGGCGGCCATGAAAGGAGGCTCATTGAGGACGAATTCCTCTCCGTGAAGAGGGTGAACTATAGCGACAGTGAATCCGTATTCCCCTTTGCGAAGTTGTATGGGGAAATCTTCAGAAAAAACATGGCGGGAATAGTATTGCCGTGCCACCATAAGTACTTGATGCCGGTGAACGCCTATTTCATCGACAGGGAGACGGAAGATCTGTGTTTGGTTATGCCATTCTGCGAACTCGGGTCCCTGAGGTCGGCTATGTCCTGCAGCAAGTTCCGCCACGGGTTGCCAGAAACCTGCATCTCCGTCGCCCTGAGGTGCGTCTTGAAGGCCCTCAAATTTCTCTACCGCTTCAGGCATTTCCACATGAATGTCAACGCCGGCCACATTTACCTGAAGAACGGGCCGCGAATCTTCCTGGGGTTTGCGGCCACGCTGTACGAGCACGGGGTTTGCGATGCCGAGGGTTCATCTCATTCTTCCCTGCCCGTGACCCAGATTTGTGATTGGGCCGCCGCACCAGAGGTCTACAGCGTCCGCAATGATGACGCGAGGTACCGCCACCGCTACACTGACAAGTCCGACGTTTGGCTGGTGGGAATCACAGCCCTTGAATTGGCTTACGGAACAATTAGAGTCCCCAATCGGGTAGCGCTGGAGAGGATGATCAAGGAAATCATCCGGACCAAAAGGCTTCCGAAGAAGCTCGTCTGCGGAGGAATTGACGATAACAGAGAAGAAGCCCACGAGGAGAAGAACGACAAGGGAAAGAAGAAGGTAGAGGAAGAAGGTAGAGGAGTGAGAAATAATCCTCATCAGCATGTTGATTCAGAGGAAATTAGGGCATCGTTTTCAAGGGAGTTTGAGACGATGGTGGCAGATTGCTTCACGTGGGACCCTTGGAAAAGGCCCACTGCGAATTCCCTTCTTAATCATGACTTCTTCGACAAGAACGGGCTTACGAGGTCGGCCTTGAAGTCGCACTTTCAAGACGTTGTGATTCAAATGGAGGAGGATATACTGAAGAAGATGAATAACCCACCCCCCAGCCCTCTCCATGTTGCTGCACCAGATTTTAGTAATAATGATGATGATGAGAATGATAATAATAAGAGGTATACTCACTACTCGTTAATTAATTACTTAACTAATTAATTCCATACATACATGTAATACTACTAAATTATGAGGCACAATCATCTATCATTTCATTAACGTTACTAACTAACATTTCAATCCCTGGCATTACTGAAAGTTCTGATATCAATATGGGCTTCTCCAATCTCGATCCCCAGTCAACCCCTAGGTACGTATGTACACTGATCTCTAACTGTATTGTACTGTATTTTGGTCCACTGATCTCTCTTCTCTTCCTGCTAATAATAGGAGCATGCCTGAGTCTCATATGACAACCCCTGGCAATCCCGACGGCCGCAGCTCCCCTGCACTGACTGATGTCCCGTTGAAGCTGCGTTTCAAGAGGTACGTACGTGCTTAACTGCAGTGCTTATGAAGAATCCATTGATCCAGCCAATTGTTTCCGATCCCTGTTTATCACTTACTATTGATACTGTGGCATTGTCTGGCATGAATTGGAACTCATTAATTTTACTTTTTCTGAAAGAAAATTAACATATGAGGATGTTGATCAAGAAACAAAAAAGACAAAAATCCAAGAGAAAGATTCTGAAGAAACAAGTAGTGCCTCCCCCATCAACCCCTGGATGGATATAGAAGATTATTACAATGATGCTTATGCTTCTTCATCACCAGTTCCTCCTCCGGAGTACCTGGTGCATAATAGTTCCAAGATGGTGTTCCGGATCATGTCCATGGATCCAATCGGAATATCTTCCCTCGGCAAACTTCCTGTGTATAGGGTAGCCTATTCGGAATGTGATCTCAGCAGCTTCTACCTCAGAAAGTTTCTCTACAACGAATTCGCTTTAGCCATAATAGTGAACTCCCGTCGGAACCAGATTGGTTACAAGCTGCTGGAGTACGAGTTGCGAACAAAAAACAAAGAGCTTCTGTATCAAAATGAGAACTTGATGCATGTGGAAGACGCTTTCCTGGACCGGGATTCGCGGGATTACTGCATTGTGATGGGGCATGCTGGGTGGGGCTCCCTCCGATCAATCATGACCGAACACTTCCCTAACGGCCTTCCAGAGTCATTCATTACCCTGATCCTGAGATCAGTTCTTGGGGCGGTTTGTTTTCTACATGAGGGCAGCGCCATCCACGGGGATATCAGTGCGGGCCATGTTTATGTGCAGAGCGGCCCCAATATCAAAGTGGGCTTCGGAGCCACGGTTTATGAACATGGGGTCTTTAATTTGGAGTGCTCGTCATCCTCGGCGTTGCCCGAGACTTGCATCTCTCGTTGGGCAGCTGCACCAGAGGTGTACAATCATGAGGGGAAGAACCACGGCAGCACTGAGGAGAGCGACGTTTGGCTGGTAGGAATCACGGCGCTGGAATTGGCTTATGGAGGACTTAGAGTCCCCAACCGGGAAGCCCTTGAGGTGATGGTCAGGGAGATTCACGAGAATAAAAGACTTCCCAAGAGGTATCCCCCCGTCCGCCAAAGTTTGGATCAGCAGCAGCAGCTCACTCGTGAAGTGGAAGGCAAAGGAAAACATATAATGATAGAGGAAGAAGATTATGGTGATGGCTCATCAGAGGAAAGATCATTTTCCAGGGAATTTGAGAAGATAGTGGCAGAATGTCTAGCTTGGAAGCCTTGGGAAAGGCCAACTGCTAGTGCCCTTTTGAATCATGAATTCTTTGCAGAGAAAGGGATGGAGGCGTCTGAGCTGGAGTCACACTTTGAGGACGTTTTGATGGACAGACTCCGCAAGTAACTGATAGGAGTATGTATTATATGGTCGGCAGTACATGATACTTGCTATACATACCCAGAATCTCAGTTGTCTTCTCCCTACACAATTCATTAGTATTTGTGCAGCCATCCTGTAAAGTAGTTTCTGTTCTTACTTTCTTGAATACATAGAATGCATAGTACTCTTAATAGTAGTGTGCCACTAGAACCCCTACAAATAGAGTCAGGCAGTGGCCATTGTTCTGTACACCGCCCTCAATTCTTGCTCCATATAAAATTCACTTCCTCCCTCATCTAATAACCTGCTTAATTGAATCATAACCCGCTTCGAGTTGCATACATCAAAGTTTTATTGGCCTACCTTAGCTTGGGTCATGAGAAATATATATACAATAAATATCAAAGAATTTGCATGCATAGCACGGCGGCAAACATTAAACACTCTACACGATGTTGGAGAATTAATTAATCGGTTACGAGATGATATGGGAGGATACTTTTATTATTTTGAAGAGTAGAAAAAAAAGGGATAAGGGTCGGATAGGCCTCGAACTTGGGAAAAAATGTCAAATAAGGCCATATTTAGGATGATCCGTCCGGCCGACGCCATTTGGGGCGGTTCCCGGTGGAATTTTTTGATGAATGTTTTTGAGAATCTTATTCATTAAATCTAGTTTACTCATATCAAATTTGAACTAAAACTTCAATCGGGAAGACATTCAAATGAATTCTTGAAGATAACTGCTCTTTTAACTACGCATTTATCTTCAAGAATTCATTTGTATGCCTTCCCGATTGAAGTTTTAGTTCAAATTTGATATGAGTAAACTAGACTTAATGAATAAGATTCTCAAAATATTTCATCAAAAAATTCCACCGGAACCGCCTCAAATGGCGTCGGCCGGACAGAACATCCTAAATATGGCCTTATTTGACATTTTTTTTCAAGTTTGAGGCCCTATCTGATCCTTATTCCAAAAAAAATTATGAAGCTCTGATTAAGAATTTTAAAAACAACACCTTACAAATCTCTCTAAGATATATACAACAGTTCTTGGTTATCCTTGTGATTGATTATTGTTGATAGAAAATATGAAGAAGTCTATCTATTTGTGGGATCAAAATTAGGTGGGAAAAAGATTGGAGGAAGATGTGAGGAATTTTGGAGGAAACTTCAACGGTGGGTGTGAAGAAGGTGACTTCTAGATGTGAGGAAGATTTTTTTGTCAATGATAAGCTTTGAAGAAGCTTCATAGGAATGAATTAAATTCAATTCTTCAATTTTCTTGTAATTAAATATGTTGTGGAAATTGAATTCTCCATTTCTCATCTTTTAGGCATATTCAGAACAAGCATTTCAACTATCTATGAAGAGCTCCAACTTATCTCGTGTCACCATTTTTGTTGTTCACTTTGTTTTATCTTTCTTTACGAGTTATAGCTTCTGTCTTTTCACTATGTTCTATCTCCTCGACGTCTTTTGCTTTTGAATTTTCTTCCGGCACTTCATCATTGCTTCTCAAGGACAATTCTAGTGTTGCGTATGAATCTTGAACACCTTCATTTGACTTCTTAGACATTGTGGATTTTTGAATATTTTTTATTATCGTATTTTTTTTGAAACCCGACTTCCTTACTAATGATCACATTTTTCTCCTTATGATCATATAACATATATCTGAACTCTTTATTTTCATAACTAAAGAAAATGCATGAAAGAGTCGTCACATCAAGCTTTTGTCTGCATTCTTTTGATACATGTGCATATATTGAATTATCTAATACCCTAAAATGTAAGCATGTAGTATCTTAGCTTGCATGTCCAAAGTCTCATTGGTACATTAAAATTGAGTGGTATTGAAGGTGATTTGTTGAACATGCTCCAAACACATTCCATGATAGTTCGATGTATTCTTTCAACAAACCAACGTGTTGATGGATGCGTGTATCGAACTTTTTGCGTTGAATGCCATATGCTTTGCAATATGCATCAAACATCATTTGTTGATAGCTGGCGCCGCCACATGCATGACAATGGGTGAAATCGGTTTAAGAGATGTACATCTAGTAATTTTAGATTTAGTTTTCAATCCGTTAAGACAATTCTAAATAATAATTCGGGTCCTATACTGTCGTTTCATCTTCCAGATCCCTGATCGATAACTTATCTATTAAAACAATTCTATTTGTACACAAAATTTGGCCGGCGAACAAAAATTTTGCCAGGTGTAATTAACTTTACGTGAGCTTATGCTGTTGACTTCCCGTGCTATGGACTTTTTTTATGGAATCAAATGCGGAATCTCTTGATGATTTTACGTGTTCTTTAATCATCCGTGATGTTGCTATGAATATCAGTTAACTTGATCTTTGCACTTTCAGTTTCGGCAGTATTACAGATCTGTGGACTGTGGGTTGGGGTATATTTTGAATTAGATGTTGGAGTGTTTTGTTATTTTTGGTCTTCTTTTGCTTTTCACTCTTAGGTTGTTAGAATGAAATTGTCCCACCCTGCTTTTGGAGTTTCCTGACTTGCAACCCGGTTCTTGGCTTCTTGTAGAAGTGCAATACATATCATTTTTATGCTTTATGTATGGCTGATAGATCTTCCAGCTCAGGTCTCCAACCACACGAACCCGAAGGTTCTGGAACAACTCACAACCACCACAAAAGGACCTACCGGACCAGGAACCACCACCAAAGGTACCAGTATCCAAATCCCAAACCCAGCTACCCTCTCAAACCTCTCCCTAGGACTTACAGAGCACACACACACACACGAAGGAGGTGAAAAGAGGAGCGGAAGAAGGAGAAAGGATAGAGAGAAGCCGGACCCTCTCTCTCTAAACAGAATGCTTTAGAACTAGGGTTACACATATGCGGCTCACTCACCAGGCAAAGGCAGATCAAATGATTAAATAGGCGGGTCAAGGAAAGCCCAACAAGGTAAGTAGGTCACGGAGGGTATAAGGGCCGAACACAAGGAGATGGGTCAAGGAAGCAAATGGGTTGGGTGGTAACCATTTGATATAGGCCCAAGTCCTGGAATATATTGGAGAAGAAGGCCAAGGCCCATAGGGCCAATACCTCTCACATTCTACACCTTATTGGTCCTATGTGGTGTAGAGAAAAAAATTTGGCATGGGAAACACTCATCATCGCTGGTTGCCCAAGACATCCAAGGATATCTTAGGCCAACAATGGGAGGTATTCAAAAAAGACACTCCTTGGGTCACACAGGACCCAGAAACACAAATTGAAAAGTGTGATGCACACTTTCCTGATCCAGAAGGATCAAAGGGACAAACCGGGTTGCAGCAACATATTCAGACTCAGTGGTGGACAAGGCAACAATGGGTTGCAACTGGGACTTCCAATTAATATAGGTCCCACACAAAGTAAAAACATAAGAAGTGGTGGACTTCCTATTATCCCTATCATTAGCATAGTTAGAATCCACATATCCACACAACACAATACCATCAGAACACTTAGCAAAAGACAAACCATGATTCACCGTTGATTTAAGGTATCTCAAAAGTCATTTCAGAGCATTCCAATGAGGCATACCAGGATTTGACATATAACGACTCAAGCAACTAACAACATAAGCAATGTTAGGCCTAGTACTGACCATAAGATACATAACAGATCCTGTAGCACTGGAATAAGGAATAGATTTCATATCATTTATTTCAGAATCAGTCTTGGGGGACTGATCCTTACTTAACACAAAATGTGATGCTAAAGGAACATTCACAGGGGAAGCAGATTGCATGTTGAATTTACTCAAAACCTTCTCTACATAAGAAACTTGGTTTAACAAAAGAGTAGACTTGCTTCTATCCCTAATGATAATGCCTAGGATCCTCTTAGCATCCCCTAGGTTTTTCATGGAAAAATTTTCACAGAGACACTTTTGCACATGAACAATGGAATCAAGGTTAGGACTGATAATTAACATATCATCCAATAAAGTAATAAGAATACAGGCACAGAGGAGGTATCCTTATAATATAGCAATAATCACAAGCAGACTTAACAAATTTCATAGATTTCATGCATTGATCAAACTTAATATTCCATTGCCTAGGAGACTGCTTCGGACCATATAAGGCCTTCCTTAGCAAACACACATAATCACTTTTCTTGGGACCCACAAACCCTTCAGGTTGGGTCATATAGAAAAGCAGTGGTCACATCCATCTCTTTCATTTCCCAATTAAAGTGAGCAACTAAAGCAAGCATGATCCTAACAGTAGTAAACTTAACCACAGGAGCAAAAATTTCAGCATAATCTACCCCTCTTTTTGAGTAAACCCCTTTGCCACTAACCTAACCTTAAATCTCACACTCTGAGGTTCTTCCTTGACCTTAAACAACCACTTGAATTCTACAAGAGAACAATTGGGAGGTCTAGGGACCAAGGTCCAAGTTTTGTTAACTCTAAGAGACTCCATCTCACTATTCATGACCTCAAGCCATTTCTGGGACTCCTTAGAAATAAGGGCTTCCTTATAGGTTTTGGGCTCATTCAACTAAAGGGTCTCAAACACAGAGTAAGCAAATAGGGAGGTATCATGTACATGAAAAGCATAATCAGACATAAAATCAGACACCTTTTTAACAGTCTTTCTACTCCTATCTCTAACAAGTTGATAGTTATGCAAATCAGGTATATCATGCTCCATAGAATCATGTTTTTCAGTATTATCATGTAAATCAGAATCGTGAGAAGACTCCACCCCACTAGAAGGGGTGGTACCATGCAGATTAGCATCAGAATCATTAACATTGTCAAACAATGGAATGGTAGCAGCAGGAGTAGACTCCACCTCAGACTGAACACTCTTAGAACTTAGTTTTGTGGTAGGACTAGACAGACAGGGGAATTCAGACTCATTGAAAATTACATCCCTACTGATCACTACCTTAAAACCCACCTGGTTTGTATCCCACAGCCTATAACCTTTTACCCCCTCAGGATACCCTAGAAAGACACACTTCCTAGACCTAGGATCTAACTTATCCAGCTGTTGATGAACATAGGCAGCACAATCAAACACTCTAAGGTTGGACAAGTCAAGGGGCTTTCCAGAGTAAACTGACTTAGGACACTTTCCTCTTAGAAGAACAGAAGGGGACCTATTTACTAAATAGGCAGCAGTGTTAACTGCTTCACCCCAGAATTGCTTAGACAGACCAGAGGTGGCAAGGAGACTTCTTACTTTATTAAGTAAGGTTCTATTCATACGCTCAGCTACACCATTCTGTTGGGGAGTATAGGGCACATTTTTGTGCCTTTTTATTCCCCAGTCAACACACAGTTGATTCACCTCCCTATTACATAACTCTAGGCCATTATCAGTTCTAAGGGCTTTAACCTTAAGATGAGATTGGGTTTCTGTCACGCCCCGGATCTACCCGGGCACGTCAACAACTCGCCGTACAATACGAACAGTCAACCGCAATCAAACACATCCATATTATACAGGGCATCTCGAATATCATTCACACATAAGTCATCTATAAACATACATAATAAGCAATTCAATACGCAGCGGAAAACATAGTTCAAAACAAATGCCACACGGGGCAAGCATGAGCACGCAGGCTCTATAGTAAAATATCCATGAGCAAGTTTATTATTGTTCAAAACAGAATGGAGGAAGCACGAACCAAGTCTTCTCTCTGGAGCAATCACTCGAGCAACGAGCACAGGAAGCAAGTTCTAGCCTCAACCTGAAATGGTGGTGGGACGCCCCCGAAAGGGGGTCAGTACTCTATAGGGCTATAAAGTACTGGTGTGGATGGCATCTAATAGATATACAACAAGTATTTCAAACACAAGACCCTCAAATAGGGTGATAATATAATCTAGGCCGTAACCCCATGTTACCCCTTTTCAAAATAGAATTAATTCCACTTTAGGTCCTCCGAGTTTTGTGTCATTTCCATTTTTAGTCCTTGTCTTTCACTTTATCCATTTTTGGTACCTGATTATTGTTTTTTTGACCATTTGTGGTCAATTTCTGAGCATTTTTACTATCGGAAAAGGACTATATATGGTCAAGAAAACAATAGTCAGGTACCAAAAATGGATAAAATGAAAGATGAGGACTAATTGTGGAATTGATGCAAAACTCGAAGGACCATAAGTGGAATTTCTTCTTTCAAAATATACTTACTTTATATAAAGTCAAGTAGTCGACTAGTAGGCCCGAGTTTGTTTACAAAGCATCAACCCAATACCCCGTCCCGTGACTACCAGCCACGACAATTCCTAGGGTCCAACCCTAACACATATGTTTGCATTTCCAGAGTCCGACTCCAGTACATCACCATGAAAATCATATGTCACAAGTCAATTACTCCACCGTGCATTTCTAGAGTCCAACTCTAGTATATCACCATGCTACAACCTTCAATCTCCCATGCATTTCTAGAATCCCACTCAAGTACATCACCATGCATGTCATCAATCACAACCCCTTGTCTACCCATGCACTTCTAGAGTCCAACTCAAGTACATTACCGTGCCATGACATAGACTCAATTCCTAAGCAAACCCATGCTTAGAATTGAGATATTAATAATCTATTTTGGGACATCCTTAAGGATTGCCCATAACATGATCTTAGCTTCATACTAAATCAATATAGTCACTTGAATCACATTCAAGTGCATCACTTACAATCGAATCCTTAGATTCAATTCCTTAACAGTTACAAATAACCATTAACTAGTATTTCAATACAATTAAGATTATATTCCTATCAATCAAATATTCCACTTGTAAGTTCCTACATATTTAGAGATATGTAGCAGCAACTTAAGCATCCAATGTAATACATAATATTCATTTATGTATCTACACGATTCACACATGAGTAAAAATGCCTATTTCACATAATAGTTCATTAATAGCTAATTTAACTTCATTTTTATCAATATGATTCCAAATCATTTCCAATTTCATTCTTATCAAATATATCAATATTTCATCAATAATAAATCATCATAATCCATGAAAACATGATTTAGACATTTAGGTAATCTCATGCTTAACCTACAAGTTGTAAGCAACTAGATGTCGATCCTTACCTCAAATGAGCTTTGAGCCTTTCCTTCTCAATCCAATGGTCAACAGGTCAAGCTTCGGCGAAGGAAATTTGAGAACCGATTCCTTGCTTAGAAATGAGTGTTAGACAGTCTTCTCAAGGTGCTAGCTCAACTCCTAACTAATGATACAAAAACAGCCCCTAGAATGGGTGTTTTTCGACGAAATCGTTTCCTAACCATTCAAGGTTTGTTCTAGGTTAGTATCTAACATTTACTTCAATAAAATACCCTTCTCAAGAACATATTATAAACTTTTAGTAGTGTGTAATAGTCTACTCAATCATTTATATGATTTAGACAATATAAAGGAAAGTTTTGGATTCAAACTTACTTTGAATACAAAAAACGTATTCTGCGAGGTATCGTTTTACTTCGATGTTTTGGAAGCCTTAAACTGCTCTGTTTGCTTCAAACTACACCTCTATGGATTCCTTATCTTTAGATCTTTCTGTAGACACATCATAAGCCTTATTTGGACGAGTGTAGTTCGAGATATGAATCAAACAAGGATCTCCACGAACTGGAAAATACCCCTGCGGCCAGCTCCCTTCTCTCTCCCTTTCTTGAGTTGTGTGGCTCCTCTTTCCTCCCTTATCTTTAGTGCTCGATATTGGGGGTGGGGGTGGGGGGTGGGGGGGGGGGGGTTGAGAGAGTGTGTAAGACCCCTAAATAAGTTGTGTGGAGTGGATTGAATTGGTATGGTCTCCATGAGGTGTCCTAGACATGGGTGAGTCACACTTTTGATCCTTTTTGTCATATGCAGCCCCCAAGCCTATTATGCCCGATCCCCTTTCCCATTCTAACATTATTTTACTTATTTTGCAGGTGCTAGGAATGTGTGGAACACACCCTTGTGTTCACTAATTATTTTGGGAGCAAAATATCTACCAATACTTCCAAAAATGGAAAGATGAGTCCTATTGTTTTATCCTTTGTCATAAGATGTCTTTTTGTACTCATTCTAATTTATATAGACCAAGTCAACTCTCTACATCATATTATTGGTCTCTAATATATGTACGATAATCCCAAATAATTTATATGATGTATAATTATAGAAGAAAACCAAATTCCCATTACTTAGCTCAATAATGCCTAAGGTGGGACCATAGGAGTTTGTATTCTTCTCTAATCAACACATTCACTTTTTGTGACCTTTGAATTTGTATTCTTGGGATACAAGCCGTGTGGACCATCCTCGAGTGGGTCTAGGATGCCATTCTGAAATACTTACTATTTTTAGCAGGTTAGGCCCAAAATAATTCTTGGACTGCCCGACTCTCCTTACTTTATATCGAAAGGTTATATATCTTTATTTAAATAATGTTGGGCCACTATATCCAATAAGATGGCCCAATTAAGTATTTGAAAGTCTGTTACTATTATACGAGCCCGAACGGCAGTATGATCAATCAGGCATTACGTAAAACATTAATCGTTTTACAATTGTTCGATATTAGGGAAATTCAATACATAAAGTTTGAAATTTAATTTGAATTTCAAGGATGTTCGGGTGCGGTGTCACAGTTTCAACTAGGATTTTCCATTCCCTAAACTTCTCAACTACATCAAACTTATGTTGTAAGAGTCTAAGAGACAAACCCAAACTTTCCTAGAGAAATAATCTATAATAGACAAGAAGTATCTCTTACCACCATGGGTAGAGATACTGGCAGGGCCCCAGACATCAGCATGGTCATATATATTCTAAGGCAGAGGTACACTTAGACAAGTTTGGATAGGAGGAACTAGGGAAACTGACCCTATGCTGCTTACCAAGCACACATGCTTCACAGAAAGGCACAGAAGACACACAATCTTTACCAAGGTAACCAGATTTATGCATGATTTCTAGACCCTTATTACTCATGTGACCTAGCCTATTATGCCACAACACAGTGCTATCAGGACAAACAACATTAGCATATTCAGAGAATGGAACAGCATGGCACACATACAAGTTATTCACCTTTAAAGCTTTGAACATAACCAAGGAATTTTTCAAAACCTTCATGCAACCATTGCCCCATTTTCCCTCTAACCCACTATCCTCAAAAGCAGCAACTGAAAACAGATTATGACACAAATCTGGAACATGTCTCACATTTTTCACAGTGCACACAGTCCCATTATCAAACTTAAAACACATGTTCCCCACCCCATCCACTTTGCATTTCTTACTATCAGCTAAAGACACATAGCCATCATCACATAGATCATAGGAAGAAAACAGGGATTTAAAAGGAGTCATATGATAAGTGCAACCAGAGTCAATAATCCATTCATTTTCAGTTAAGCCACTTAGCACATAATTTGCAAAGTCATACACCATAAACACATCATCATGTATATCATTAGAGACAACAGAGTTGGCCTGGTCAGACTTTTTAGGACTGGGACAGTCCTTTATGAAATGGTCAGGTTTACCAAAATTGTAACAGACCCTTTTCTTAGACTTACCTCTCTTGTTACTAGGCTTCTGACTATTCCTATCTTGATTTTCCTTCTTGGAGTTCTTAGATCTATTCTTAGACCTACCCCTCACAAACAAGGCCTCACCAGAATACCAGACTGATTGCCATGACCCCTATTTTGTTTCAAATCAAGTTCTTTACTTTTTAAGTCATTAACCACAATATCTAAAGTAACATCATCTCTACCATACTTGATGGCAGATTTGACATCACTATAAGAATCAGGAATGACATTAAGCAAAATAATTGGGGTGTAGTCATCAATATGCTTGTCACCATCCTATTTGATGTTTTGAACAAGTTTGTTAAAAATATCCAAATTTTCATCTATATCCTTAGTAAGGTCAAGCCTGAACCGGAAAAAATTTTCAAGTAAAAATAGTTTGCCTTGTAAGGAGGTATCAATATACAGACTATCAAGCTTTACCCACAAATCTTTTGCAGAGTCAAGTATACCAACTTTCCTTAACACAGAGTCAGAAAGATTCAAGTAAATAGTTGCACAGGCAGTTTCATTCATTTCAAGTTGTTTAGCCTCATTTTCAATTTCTAAAAACTTGCCAGTGACAATTCTGAAAACTTTTTGTTGAATTAAAACACATTTAATCTTTTGCTTCCAGATATAAAAATCAGTTTTCCCATTAAAGGGCAACATTCCATATTGATAAGCAACCAAGGCAAAAGACACAGAAACCTAGGAAATGTCACACTGATAAATCAAGTGGAAACCTTAGAAGAGGTCAGACAGCGGACTAGAGGACCACGCAGTTCCGAGGCCACTCTGGTGGCTGGCAGGGTATCCCCTAGCCCTAAAACCACGTGCCTTCACTAATCAGGGAGAACCACTCTGGTTATTCGTAGACAGACAGACAACTGAGGAACGAAAAAACAACACTCAGAAAGATCAAACTCACTGAACACAGGGAACTAAAAGGTGCAAGAAGAAAACAGCCCGAACCCACTACCCCAAACTCACAGAGAGTCAGTTAAGAACACAAACCAATCACGGATATGAACATGCAACGACAGATCAACACATGCAAATGAGAGATTCAGCCGACATACCTGGGGTAATGGCGGTCGGGATAAAATCAACCGACGGCCGCACGGGGAAGGGGGAGTAAAAAAAATCTGGAGACACCAGGTGCACCTAGGGTGTTTCAATCCAATTTACCTGAGCGGATATCCAGGGGGATTATCCGACTTACCATGGACGAAGAGGAGGAAGCCGATGTTGTCAGAGGTGAGTAGCTGCTGGGTTTCCGGTGGAGCTTTCCGGCAATAGACGGTGAGGACCAAGCTCTGATACGACTGTAAGGCTGATAGATCTTCCAGCTCAGGTCTCCAGCCACACGAACCCGAAGGTTCTGGAACAACTCACAACCGCCATAAAAGGACCTACCGGACCAGGAACCACCACCAAAGATACCAGTATCCAAACCACAAACCCAGCTACCCTCTCAAACCTCTCCCTAGGACTTACAGAGCACGCACACACTCACACGAAGGAGGTGAAGAGAGGAGCGGAAGAAGGAGAAAGGCTAGAGAGAAGCCAGACCCTCTCTGTCTAAACAGAAGGCTCTAGAACTAGGGTTACACATATTCAGCTCACTCACCATGCAAAGGCAGATCAAAGGATTAAATAGGCGGGTCAAGGAAAGCCCAACAAGGTAAGTAGGTCACGGAGGTATAAGGGCCGAACACAAGGAGATGGGTCAAGGAAGCAAATGGGCTGGGTGGTAACCAAATGATATAGGCCTAAGTCCCGAAATATATTGGAGAAGAAGGCCAAGGCCCATAGGGCCAATACCTCTCACACTTTATTTAGCTGAATTTTAAGTTTGTAAGTGATCATATTTATAAAATTTTAACTATTAAATCTTATTTAGAAAAATGACATTGTTTTGGTAGTATTTGGTAAATCTGCCTTGTGATAAAGCAATACCACACACTTCCATTTTTTTAAAAGAAAAAACAATTCCACTACTCACTCTTCATTTTTTTAAAGAAAAAATACTTCCACTACTGAGTCTTCCATTTTTTTAAAAGAATAAACACTTCCATTTTTTTCTCATTGAGAAACTGTTCTCTTCACCTGATCTGATCTGATCTGAAACTTTCTGATGTGATCTAATCTGAATCTTTCTGATCTGATCTGAATCTTTCTAATTTGATCTGAATCTTTCTAATCTGATCTAATTTGAATATTTCTATAATTATAATTATAATTTTTAAAAATAATTATAATTATAATAATAACTGTAAAAATATATAATTATATTTATAATAATAATTGTAGTTAAAATTCAAATTATAAAAAATATACCTATTACACTAATTATAATTATAGCTATAATTATAATTGTAATTATATTTTTAATTGTAATTATTTCTATAATTATAATTATACTTATAAATATAATATGTATTTCTATAATTATAATTATAATTGTAATTGTAATTGTAATTGTAATTATAGTTATAATTCTAATTATAATTATCAATACTAAGTATAATAATAATAATAATAATAATAATATAGTAGTAATAATAATAATAATAATAATGATAGGTACATACATACATGATGATGATACGGAGTAATAATACGGAGTATTAATAATAATAATAATAATAATAATAATAACAACAACAATTATTATTATTAAAATTATTAGAATAATAAAAGCGACAAATCATGTTTGAACTTTTCTGATCTGAATGTTTCTAATCTGATATGATCTGATCTGAATATTTCTGATCTGATCTGAATGTTTCTGATCCAGTTTGATCTGATCTGAATGCTTCTGATCTGATCTGAATTGTTCTGATCTGATCTGATATGATCTGAATTTTTGATCAAATTTATCTGAACTGAATGCTTCAAATTTTTGATCAAATTTAAACAGTAAGTAATAAGAATATAAAATAAGAATAAACACTAATAAGAAATAAGAATAAGAACAACAGAACCGGTTCTCACTCGGACCGTAGGCTCATCTTACTTGGAGAAGATGGCCGCACCTCCACCGCTAAGTGCAACATCTAGCTCTTTGGCGTTGGACTCTCACCGTGAGCTTCTTAAAATGGTTGGTGATTATTGATTCCGTTGTATACCCTGCGTATGGTTTAGGCACGAGAAGTAATCGCTTTAGCTGTTGAACAGGTGAGGAGTCACGAGGTTGCTGTTGCGGAGCTCAATAGCATCTCTGCTTCACGAGTATGGAATCGTTTTTGTTTATTCAGTCTTACTTTCTGCTCTAGCCTGGTTTTGCTAACAATGACCAACTTGGTGTTTGAGTTCCTCTCTCAGTTGCCCCATCTTTTTTCGCACCATCTTTTAAGATGAATTTGTTCTTCGTTTACATAGTCAACCACTTTTTCCGCAAGATGAAACATTAGGTACAAATTTCTACCTTAATCCAAGGGTGTGAAGGATTGGATATGTATAAGCTTTAGAAGTTGGAACTTCTAGAACCTAGATTAGTGTGCCTGCAGTATTGCAGAAGATTATCTGAGGAAGGGCAGGTCAAGCTAAACTCTTGAGTGGGATGGCAGTTTTCCCTTGGATGCCAACTCCAACATCGTTACCATAATTGGACCTTATCATTATATACTTTTGTTCATGACAGCGAATGTAGAAACTATAAACTGATCAAAAATCTTAGATATAGTTATAGTAGCATTAAGGTATGACATTGTAGATCTGCTGACATAGTTATGATTATCAGTTCATTGGCAGTATTTCTGTACATATCCACCACCACATTATGTTTTTCAGTACTGTACATGTACCAATGATGTGTGAAATGCATAATGCTTGAATATTTGATAATCATAAAAGAGGGCAAAAGTACCTAGGGCTTAGACAAGATGTAAGTTATATATTTACTACCTAATATGATACTGCATGGCCCCGTTGTGTTTGTGGGAACAATATCATCTGGCTACTCTATATTCTCTCAATGTGAGTTTCTGTTGCTGTTTGGAAGGTGTATAAACCTGGAAAATCATAGGAATTAAACATGAATCACCACCCTAAGTGTTAGGGAGTAATGCATCCCATATGTGGTAGATAGCCATTGCTAGGATGTCCCACAGTACATGACTACATGCATTTGTTCAACTGTTATTTGAATTTGCATAGTTTATAAAATGTTTCACATTATATCATGTTTGAATGCTAGGTTGTCTACAAGAAAAACGGGAACCTTTTTTTCCGCACAAATGCTCAGAAAGCAACTTTAGATGAGCAAAGTAAGGATATATCCAAGCTGAGCCATTACTCCATGAACCTAGTGTGTGTGTGTGTGTGTGTGTATGAGAACTTTTATAACTATAGTGGACTGAGTTGTTAATTGCATCTCTCATGTATACTATGTTGATATTGTGCAGAGCAATTGGAGATGGCCAAAGCTAAGCTACAGAAATTAACTCTGACTTGATACTATGTTGTGTTCTTTCACGTTCAGTTGTAGCTAAGTGAACTGTTTATTTCATGAGCAAAAAGTTCCCTATGCTTATTTGAAATGTTATCAATCTGTGTTTTCGTATCTTGGTGTCAAGTGATGTGTAAATCGAAAGAGTACTATGATGATAACTTTTGCAATGATATCAGCGTAATGAAACTTGAAATTTATTGTTTGGGTGCAGATTTGTTGTTAAATTTTAGCTGCTCACACAATTTTGTGATATCTAAATATGAGAAAAAACAGGGCTTTTATTTGCTTTGTGTTGGCTAGTTTCTTGATCAACACAAGTGCAACAGTTAGCAGAGCTGCATAAACTGGATCAGGCAACTTCTGTGTCACCTTACCAACATAAGGGATGCCCTCCGTTTTTTTCCTTGTAATTCGTGCTACTCTTGGTGCCAGAGCAAAATAAATCATCAAGCCTTGACTGACAGTGAAGACTGTTTCTTTTGTCAACTGCCTAATGAAACTGAGGAACTCATTGCGGCTGAGTTCTCCGTCTAGGTTGAGATCACATTTCTAGGAAATTACAAATTATGGTTTGATCAGCCAGCAATGTAAAGATATCCTTGCAATAAATATGCTATTAGGAACATACCTTTATCAGATCCCTGACTTGTTGCTTTGAAGGAGGATCAAAATGTGGTGCAGGCAAGTGTTTATTAATCCGGCTTGAAGAAGTAAAAAGGGAAACTGGATCAGTCATCAGTGTTATCCTCAGAAGATGGCACCCAGCAAAGTAAAACTTGAAACACTTGAATCTATCTTACTTGTAGATGAGCAGCACGGCAATGTAAAGATCTTCAAAGGTCAGATTCAGTCTCCCAGCTTCATTTTTTATACGGTCAAAAACCTTGTCAGATATTAATTGGACTTGCCTAGCCCTCCACTCCTTGTAACCTGCAATCAGATAGCTCAGTTTTGTGTTGATTAAACAAACCATTCAATTAATTTCTATGTAGAACTTGGAAAATGGAATAGATGTGGTGTTTGTAGCGTATTACCTGAGTATTTTCCAAGAATCAGACCCATTTTAGTTTTAGAAAGCTATTCTGTCTTCTCCTACTCCTAACCAGAAACTTAGAAAGGTGCTGGTATTTAACTTGTTATGGAGCCAGCAGGTAAGGTTAGTTTCAAGATTTGGTACCTTGATATGGTCCTTAGCAAGTTTTAAATGAATATATCGTATATAGTAGTAGTGGTACAACTGGCCATGTTTTGTTTTTGGTTTCTATTGTACTGTGGTCTGCATTGTATTCTCAAACCTTAAAAGACATGGGCCTCGGTAATAGAGAGAATCTGCAGTCAAGCCTCTTGTATCCCAGGACATTCTGTGGCAAATCAACGGACGAGAACGGAAACACTCATTTGAGCGGTCTGATTGATGGTGACAATCCGGGGGCAATCAAGGTGATAGGCTGTAGGCGGATGGCCTCACGACTGCTCCGCTACAGTGCACAGCTGAGGATATTAACTCGTTATTGTTGTGTTCATAATCTTTTGATTTTTTTTCGGATTTTGATTTTGAATTATATACTCACCCCGTGATACATTATGGTGGCCATTTAGGAAGCTGCATTACTCCAAGGGATCCCCAAGTTGCTGAAAATTTTAGGACTGTTGTAGTAATTTCACAATTAGTAACTTAACAAGTAAAAAATAACATACTTTGAAAACGTTATATTCCAAAGAGAAAATTATCTCTTGTACGACTAAAAGAACATAAAGTTCCCAAAGTATGACTCCATCCGTTTTTTTCTTGATATATGGCTACCATAAGAGCATCTCCAATGCTCTGGCAAATTACAGCGTACACCCGGATGTACGGTCCTCACCGTACATCCGGGTATTTTTGAAATTATTATCAACTTCTCTGTCCGATGATTCAAGCTTCCGTTGCTTCTTTCATGGAGTTGGAGTCCGCTAGCGTGCCTGCCCTGTTCTCCGCTCGAAGGATGGCTTCAAATTAGGGAAAATGAAAAACTTACTCAAATTGGACGAAACCGGTGTCAAAAGCTTCGCCTCAGCAAGACGAGTCCAGAACAACTCTCAGAATTTGATTTAAACATGTCGTTTGAGAGATACGAACAAAAAACCAGACTGCTCTGAACAGTGGTGGGCACAACTGCTCTTTGCTAACTCCGGCCAAAGAGCACATCCGGCCACCGGAAAAGGGTTGGGGAGGTGCGCCTAGAGGTGGCGACCCCCACAACACTCTTTGATTCCAACAACAACCGTCAAATTTTGGATTAAAGACCATAAAATCAAAACTGTGAATAGTTAATTGATGCGCACAAATCTTCAGAAATCCGTCGTTTTCCATCTTAAAAACCCAAATCTTCCAAATCCAATCGTTGGAAAAGAAAGAGGAGGAAAATCCGAGCTAGGAGAAACAAGATTTAGGAAGAAAGATCGATCAAAAGAGCCAAAAGAAAATTCGTGTATTCATATGTCATATCAATACACAAATGAAATTTGAACACATATTGAGCACAATAGAAATGAGTTTTATGTTAAATTCAAATGAGTATAACGTCCAAATTGAATGAGCACACAAAAATGTGTTTTTAAATTTTTTGATACTCATTTCGTAAGTTATGCATGCTCATTTGGTCATAATGGTATACTCATTTAACAGAAAGCTTGATTTTCATCTCAATATATGAGGTTTGGTGCTCAATGAACATATCGTTATGTTAAACTAACAAATCTTACGATTTTCATATCAATAAACATTTTATAAGTTACGTATACTCATTTGGTATCAATGTTATGCTCATTTTAAAATGTTATATCAATGCATATTTTAAAAGTATCATATTGCATTAAATTCGCATATGGAAATTCATAGGAGTGTATTATAGATATAATACAATTACTTTTTATAAAAGAAAAAATAAGTACAAAAATTGAATTAGAAGATATGAAGCAAAAATCAGGATACTCATTGTTAGGCTCTAAATACTCAATAAAATAGGCCAGATGTTCACTACATGTACACTATTGCTCATTTAGCGGAAATCGTGACTTTTCACTTATATTACAAAAATGCCACCGAATTTTATTTAGTTTGTATTCATTGTTGGGCTGTCTTTCTTATTTGGGCCGGGTGTACATACACCCGGATGCACCATATACGAACCCCAATGCTCTTCTTTTGACATTATAAAATTTTGCCACATCATCAATTTAAAAAGTGTGATCAATATTTTATCTCCAATACATTCTTCTATGGGCTCTTTTAATATGACATGGATCCGACGCTTTCAACGTCTCTGTTGAATTTCCTAAAGCACTTTTCACGCTTTGAAGGCTTCCTCTTACGCACAATCCGGTGAGTATTCTTCTAATAATAGGTATTTCTATCTTTGCTTTGACGCATGCTTGATTACGGAAGTAAATTCTAATAGATATTTTTAATTAAACTTAATACTATCTGCCTCAATTCGCTGTCAATGAGGCACGAAGTTTCTTCTTCTCAAATTTTGAAAAAGTAGATTCTTGAATTGTAGTTTAAAAGTAATGATTGAACCCAATAATTCCCCAATTTTCAGATTGTTGAGAGCAGTTTTGGGAATAACCAATCCACAAATTGAATTACATGCTAAATTGCTAACGACTTCTGGAAATTTGTAGAACTTGTATATAACTTCAGTAGTCGTGTGTTTTAATTTTAAATTTATAATATTAAAAAAATGACGAGTAGAGAATATTTAATGTGTTAATATCATGCATTGGAGACCACTTATTAATTTCTTTTGATGTATAGCTTATGTGGATAAACATTAGTTTATTCAAGTGACATTTGGCAAAATTTACCTTCACATGAAAGAAGAGCATTGAAGATGCTCTAATGGACATGACCATACACGTTCCTTTACTACTTCATTAGCCTCCTAATAATAAGGATTGAATTAATTCTTTTTGGTAACCGCCGATCAGATAAGATGGATGTCAAAAATTCGGAATTAAGAATTAATTCCATTATGGTAACTCGGAAAGTGCCGAGTAGTACGGAAATAAGGAAGGGAAAGTACATCCATGGTATTAACTACTCCCTCCGATTCCAAAAGATCTTGACACTTTGACTTCACAATTTTTAAGGAAATAAACACTGTTTGGCACTAGGGGTGGATTCGGTTCGGGCCACCCGGCCCGTGACCCGGCCCGGCCCGATACTGTGCGGGCCCGGGACCGGCCCGGCGGTCCGGGACCGGGTGTAGACCCGAACCGGTGGGAATGGGCGGGGCGGGCACGGTTCCGGAAAAATGCGACCCGGCCCGACCGGGTCGGGTCCGGGCCCGGATCCGGGTCCAACGGTCATATTTAAAAAAAAAAATTAAATGGCTACTAGCCGTTATGGGTGGGCTGGGGACAACCCAAACGGCTACATAGCCGTTGGGTGGGTCTTGGGGGGGTCCGGGGGGGTTGGGTGGTGGGTGGGGGGTGGTGAAAACCTATAAATACTCCTAATCTTAAACATTTTTTCATCTCTTCTCCAATTCTTCCTAAATCCTATTCTTAACTCTCTACTCTCTAATTCTCTTATTCTCCAATATATTATATTTATTATTTATATATCTACTTTATAGTTTATACTAAAGAAGTTAAGATGCCATTATACGGTATAATTTTGATAAGCAGAAGGACCCGAAGATCGGGATGTGGTACGCAACTTGCAAATGGTGCGAGAAAAAATGCAGCATGGGGGTTTCAGGCGGATACGGGATGACAATCAAGCATATGAAGTCACGTGACAAAGCCAAAGGATCGGGAGGTGCGGGAAGTTCCGATTGATTACAATTTTCAAAATGTTTGTCTCTTAAAGTTTAGTTTAATTTTCAAATGTAGTTCCTATTTCATTTCAAATAAATGCACTTGAAGTTTGTTTTTAATACTCGTATAAAACTATAAAATATAAATTATAAAAAAAAACTTTAACCGGCCCGGCCCGAACCGGACCCGACCCGTGACCCGGGCGGGTGGCCCGGCCCGAACCGGACCCGTCCAACCCTCGGGCCGGTCCCGGGCCCATGTCATACAAACCGGCGGCCCGACCGGGCCCGACCCGCCCATCAATAATTTTTTTTTTCATTTTTACTACTATTGATTTAATTGGTAGATTTACTGCACTGATCACTTTTTTCTATTGATTTAATTGTTGTATTTATTGTCTTCCTATGAGCAATAACTTCTATTATGTACCGCCTTCGCATTTACTGCAATACTGACTTCAATGACTGCTTTTATGTTTACTAAAATACCAAATAATGGTTTTCTTGAATTCTTTAAGCTCTTCATGAGTTAATTAAATTGTTCCTTATACTGTCAATTGCTTTTATTGTATTACAATAACTATTTATTTCTACACGAGTAGATTTTTACAGGACGAGGTTATCGCTATGCGTCGTCATCACACACTCGTGCAATATACTACGTATTACATATAAACCTTTCATACATATTACAATCACTTTTCTTGTATAATGCACATTACCTCCTCGTTATTGCCCTATTACTGATGCTAACTATCTATTATTGACCATTATTCTCTTGTCTTCCTCATTGTAGTTATTCGAGCAAGCAAATATCACTTGTGCATTCAATAAATTAAAATCTAATTCCCTCAATTAGTGCACTACCAAAATAGTGCAAGTCAAACAAAACAATGACCCTTGCTCGTTAGCTTTCAAAGTAGCAAATTATGACACTACTACACCACTTCTACTTCCGAAGTACCTTCGATTATCACCTACCAAGTCTTCTACCCATGCCGCTTTGCAATCAATAAGGACTGTTATTTTTTAGCAACCCAGTTTATGGCGCACGTTTCCCAAATTATTCCGAGTGGCTTTATCGCCGTTATTTGAAAGGGCATTTTTGATTTTTTATTGTTATTCAACCATGCGCACATGTATGTCATGTTATTTTTGGTCATACGATACATACAAAAACTGTATTATTTAGGAAAAGACACAGGTTTTACTAATACTACGTATTGGGGTATTTTTCCCTATTCCAAAATGCTAGTGATGATTAATTATTATTCAATATCGCAACGATTCCAGAATAAAGGAGAAATGCTTCTATTTTTTATGCATCG